GTTCGATACCAAAATGAAAGAGATTGTTTCACGCCGGAGGTTACCACGAATAATTAGAATCCTCCGGTTATTGATAAGCTGAAGCATAAGTCAAAAAAGAGGCAGAAATTGATCGGGAAATATATGTAATAACTTTATAATGTTCGTTTTAATGCTAACACGCTTAAAAATGAAAACCCACATTGACCCTATCAGAAGCTTTTGAGAAGTCAAGGTGAATGATATCAACCTTCCACTTGCAATCAAGAATGGTTGTCCATCTACCCACTTCAGTCAGCAGGTTTTTATACAAGAATGACCCTTCCTGTAGTCAAGCTGTAAAGGAGAAAAGGAGTTTGAGGATAGTATGTCGTCATGTACACCGCCGCACAATAGAACTCCATAATTATTGAAGGTATGGAGAGAAGAGCCAGCTGTCGGTAGCTAGAAGGTTCGCTGTGTCGACCTCCTTTGAAAATCGACGCGATGTGAGCCAGCTTCCAAATTACGGTAGTTTGCCTCGGCTTAGCGAGTGTGAGAACATCACACTAAGCGGTGTTGCCAGCATTGAATCTGTTTCCCTTAGTATAGAAGAACGAACCATATCCGGACCAGAAGTGTCTTCTCTTGGGCGCTGCAGTTTCCGGTACACCAGGTCGGCGCTCAGGTTCAGTTGCAGATGAAGCTCTCATCAGTATAGGTTTTGTGGGTCAGTTGAAACGTCCGAGAGTATATTACAGCCAGAAGGTTAGCGGCATCACCACAGTTATTAGTCGGGCCATTAGGACCTAGAAGCTGGGAAACTCCAGTTTTCGCTTGACGAAGTGAGGCTTCATAACGAAATAAGCCTTTCGGATTGGAGACAAATTTATCGATAAGCTTTATCTGGTACCTAATCCTGTCTTCGTTTATTGCCTTTTCGCATATGTTCCTTATACGTTTGTACAGTCTGTATGGCTTAGCGAACTAAGAGTGTGGTTCTTGATGACTATAGGTTTCTCACTTATATTGGGGACCATTTGAGGAACATACTGCTTTGTAGTACATAGAATCGAGTGCACTAAGAAATCCGAGTGTTCATCTACATCAAGTTGGGGGTGAATTTCCCAATCCACCTGCTGTTGAGCCACAAGTTCTCACCAAACAAATTACAGATCCACAGTTCTTAGCAGTAAACAGTATATTTATAACAATCCAGGGCGCTGTTCAACTGACTTTATTCAATATAAAAACTGAAACGTCAAAGCGCATACCCTGTTAAGTAACGAGGACTTTCAACAGACCTAACTTTTTCTCGCAGGTGCAGTAGGCAAGGACTAAACAATACGTAAAATATGAGAACATGATCTTGCGAAAAATCTGGCTTTCAAATAGCAACAAAAGTAATGATTGCATAGTGAGCACCTCACAACTGAAAGCTACTTACTAAATCCACCTCGATGTTATTTGATGTAAAATAATATACTAACTATGGCAAAGTTGTCTTTAGAGTATACCTCGGAGTGGGTGCCTTGAGGAGTCTTTTCTCTTAGTATGGTGGGACATTTTCTCAATCAATTTTGCAAATGCTTGTTCGCATATGTTCAGAATATGGAAATATAGTGTCTCCTATTTTACTCCAAAAAAGCACGAATTATCAGGACCGTATCCAAAGACTAAACGAAAATTCAGTTCTTCAAACCAAATTCAAGCCTGTCGAGGATCTACTGGAACCACTGGATATTTTCTTTTTGGAATATAAGCTAGTAAGAGGTGACTTTCTAATAAAGCACTGTACTCTAAACATTGAAAGTTTCAAAGGTTACACTTTGCTTTTTAGTCAATTAGATAGATGACGGAATTTGTTTGCATAAGTCATTATTAAACACATTGATATTCAAACGGTGACACAAACCACTTTCGGAAAGAAACTCGTCAAGGAGACTTGTGGACTGGGTTGTAGTTTCATTGCAACGGAGGTTCACTGGCAGTCTGTTCCATATTGTTGGGTAGCGAATAATAAAAGAATTCTTGTGTAAGTTTATGTAGGTTCTTGAAATCGTCATAATATTTTTCTTATTGCGTAGATTGTGGGAGGATATGATAGAGTATGAAGGAGTAGATACAAAGGAGTAGGAAATACCGTTAATAAGCCGGTAGATAAGGACAAGGTTTAATTTCATACATCTGATCCAGAGAGATTCTGATTTGAGTTGTTAACATCTTTGTTGATAATCCTTGTTTTCGGAATACCCCAAAACAGTTTCGGTGAAACTTCTTTGAAAACCTTCAATTTCAATCAGGTCATTATACCTGCAATCACTACAAACCAAAATACCACATTCAAGAATGGGTAAGATACATATTCTGTAAAATAATAATAATCTTGATTCGATACAATTGAAGTTTACCATTATGAATCCAATGAGCGTTCTAGCTTTGAATATTTGAGATGCAATGTATTCAGAAAAGATCAAACTGTTGCTATATCTTAAACCCAAGTTATGAAAAGTGTTGAGACGTTTCAGAGTATGTTTGTGAAGAGCCAGATTTAGGATAATGCAGCGCCCAAAGTGAATATATCCACTTTTGTCAAAATTAAGGGGCAGATTCCAAGAAACAGTCCATTCGTACAACTTGATTATTACTTATTGCATTAACGCTGAAATATATCTTTCTTTGGTGGGATAAGAGAACGAATAAAATACTTTTAGGTCAGATAGCTCAGACCACCAAGCTATGAGCAAATCGAGCAAATTTGAAACAGAGAGGCGGATGAGTGAGAATATCGGTATATCGAGAAGTGACTAATCTGAACTGGCTAGTGGTCGTAGATGTAAAGCACAGTGAAATTAATGAATCATCGACTAGTAGTAAAGCTAGCAGAACGAATATGTGCGTAGGCAGTAAGCAATGCTCAGGCATACATGTTTATACATGCGCAACAATGATAGAGGTAGAATGATATAAATAAGTTTATGCGGATGACTCAGTCCGTTAAAGAAGTAAAGAAATACGTTTAATCGAATTAAATGTAAACTCAATTGCACGTAAGCTTCTATAGAGCAAAACTGCTCTCACCGACGCGGTGTAGATCCGAACTTTTACAGCCAGACTAACATCACGAAGGGGCCAGAGATGACTCAGATTGGCATAAGCCGCTCTGGTTTTCACTATACATGCAATGATCTCATCACTCACGCCACCACCAGCACTTATGCAGCTACCCAGATACACGAACTTCTCGACTACTTCTATCTGTTCACCATCCAAAGTAAGTGCAGGATTAGAGTATTGCCAATCTTGTAGAAGTACTTTGCACTTCAAAGGTGCAAAGCACATACCATACCTATGGACACTGATTGCCAACCGATTAAGTGCGGATTGCATGGCTTGGGCATTATCGCACAGTAAGACAATATCATCCGCATATTGAAGGTCGAGAAGTCTTTCTCTAAACAACAGATCCACACCGATATTACTTACATCGATCAGAGCTGTTTCCAGAATGTCATCGATGGCAAAGTTGAAGAGGAATGGTGAGATTGGGCAACCCTGTCTAACACCACTGCTCGAATGGAACAATGGAGAGAGGTGGTTGTATGCCCTCACTCTGCCTGAGGTGTTTTTATATAGGGCTCTTAAGATGTTACTAAACTTTTCAGACACACATTTCTTCAATAGACAATCCCAGAGAACAGTCTTATTCAACGAATCGAAGGCATCCCCGATGTCAACAAATACTACGACTGTTGACCTTTGATAAGTATGACGGTGTTCTAACATTTGGCGGAAAGTGAAGATATGATCAATACATCCTCGACCAGAACGAAACCCAGCCTTCTCCTCTTGAGTCAATCTTTCTCGGGTTTTGAACAACCTACGAAGTATGACGGAAGCCAATAGTTTGGACGCGATTGGAAGTAGACTTGTCCCTTGATAGTTGTTACAGGAACGACGTGAACCGTTTTTAAAGATTGGGCCAATTGTCGACTCATTCTGGAACATAGCCAATCCTATCAATTGTCCAATCTGCATTAATGTGTGAGCGTTTCAGGAGGTCAGTTTGAATGGCATACGTGGTTTCTGAATGTTTCAGCATTCGTAATTGCTGTTAGCGTTCAAGTTTTCACCATGGGAGATCTGCCATATGTATTGAAAAACCATATACGCGAAACGAGCATCAATGGATATACATAAGTGACGTAATATAAAAAATAAATACGAATGTTATTAAATGATTGTGAGTAGGATTTGTCTAAATGAGATTTAGAGCAAAAAAGTCTTCCCGTTAGTAGTCAACGATTGGTTTGTGTGAAATCTGGAATGCTATTCAGATGGCCGAATCGAAGCAGGTGGTTTCCTTAAGAGGCCACAACCCTAGTCTTCAACCTAAAGGTCTAATCCATAAGTCAGTGGGGCAAAGCCGAGAGATGCGACCCCATAGCAGCTGGTGATCAACAGTAGCTTCACATGCCATTCGCTCCCTCAAGGTTCTTGAGCTGGTGGGTACCAGGGTCTTCCAAACCACTTAGGTGGATCCTCCATATCCACCAACCTGGCTGGAGCACCAGACATTCGCTTTTCGTCCCCTACATTTCTTAAAAAACAACCCGGTCGCAATAATGTAGCGAGTAGGACTTCCCTGGTAGTGGTAATATACACACGATCATGTGGAGAGCATTTCGAGAGGGAGAGCTAACTCTATCCACCCTCGGTCATACCTGGGCATACACGAAAATTAGAAGTACACTAGAGCAAACGTGATTGTAGGAATAATTTCTAATTTTTGTTGACGGTTAGGTCTATGGGTTTGCCACCGTCTGAAGTGTTTCGATCCACTTCACAGGGGTTCTTCAAAAAGAAACCTGATTTGTTCTTAAAAATTTAGGACAAGGTGTTTCTTTAACCTTTGTTTCTTTTACATACCCGAATCCCTGCCTTAATTCCTTGGTGAATCATCGTTTCAGTACGAGGAAACTCGATTAACGAAAGCCGCTTTGTCCATAACCTTTTGAACTATGTGAGATTTGTCCTTGAGGGGTCGTGGTACATTTAAACCTGATGGCATCGTGGGAGGATCAATTGGGTCCAAGTGGTTCTGTTACTGCCAAGTTATCTCAGTTGGATGTAAATGCACCAGAGTTTATACCTGGTCAGCCATTTTATTACAAACCTACGGAATTGATTTCTTGTAATACGGAAAGTGAACCATCTACCCAAACCGTAAAATTCATTAATGTGCTTGATGAAGGTAAGTATTTAAACATCTTGAATTAATGGTATTTTCAGAAACAGAAGTTGGACCTGAAAAAGATGAAGACCTCCCCAAAAATGTACGTACTTTGTCAATCTCACACTAGTTTCCTAGACCATAGCTATCGCTCCGGACAAAGACACACTTAATTTGGTATTTATTGGACACGTCGATGCTGGAAAATCAACAATTGGGGGTCACCTACTGTACCTGACAGGTTCGACAAATTTTCATTGTGTATCCATAGTTTGTAGATATGGTAGACAAAAGAACTCTGGAGAAGTATGAGCGTGAAGCAAGAGAAAAGAATCGAGAGAGTTGGTATTTGTCATGGGCTTTGGATACAAACCCTGAGGAACGCGATAAAGGTAAAACGGTTGAATGTGGTCGAGCCTACTTCGAAACCTCTAAAAAGCGATTTGTCTTAATTGATGCTCCTGGTCACAAATCCTTCGTACCCAACATGATATCAGGTGCAGCAATTGCCGACATCGCCATACTTGTGATATCGGCTAGGCGTGGTGAATTCGAAACGGGGTTTGACAAAGGCGGACAAACCAGAGAGCACGCTTTGTTAGTGAGAACTACCGGTGTTAAACACTTAATTGTGTTAGTCAATAAAATGGATGATCCAACCGTTTTGTGGGATGAAACTCGTTACATGGAATGCAAGGACAAAATTTTACCATATCTAAAGAAGATAGGGTTTGACATAAAGAATGACGTATATTGTATGCCGTGCTCAGGATATAATGGAGCGTTTCTTCGGGATATTCCAGACGAATCAGTCTGCTCATGGTATAGAGGTCCTAGTTTACTGGAGCACCTCGATAATCTCCCCAGCTTTCCACGGAATACAGACGGCCCTTTAAGATTTACCGTCACCGACAGATACAAAGAAATGGGTACATTTGCCTCTGGGAAAGTTGAATCTGGATCAATATCGAAAGGCCAAACGATAGTATTATTACCCAATAAATTGAACGTGGAAGTTATGCAGGTAAACCTCATTGCATTATACATAAATTATACAAACATGGAGTCTAAACTATACAGGTAGTAGCATCTTAAAGTGATTACAGAAATAGCGGTAGTCCTAAAAACCTACACAATGTTTAGTATTGTGATTTAGTGAGTAATTTATTGCACGTCACGTGTCGCTTCGGTAAATGATGCCAACTTAAAATTCATCCTTATATTCATGCTTCAACCATTGTCAAGCCGATTCGCTTCTCGTTTGTGTTCGTTTCTTAGTTCAATAAACTTTATTTCGCAATTCATTTTGACCCGCAATACATCTTTGAATCCAGATCCTCAGGTAGACCCTTTAATTTTCTGGAATTTATTTGATGTTAAGGTTATTAAGTTGGTGAACAGCAATTACGACTAAGTTTCCGTTAATAAAAGCAATCTTTATTTATGAATATCCCTGGTTTCTAAAATATTTTCATCTTCACAGAAAATACTAATACTTAATCCGGATAATCGTTTTGCGCTGTTAAATATAATATTAGGTCATAAAAATCATTTACATGTTTTGAGTGTTGGGCAACTACATTTAAAACATGTATTGCCTGTTTATAATATGTATAAATCAGCAGAAGCGCTGTGCTTCATATTTCCCTAACTTTATACTCTGTGCAAACGCCCTGGTACGACCGAGGGTGGTGAGAGTTAGCTTTTCCTCTCTAAATGCTCTGACATGATCATCCGTATATATCCACCTCCAGAGAAGTCTCACTCACTGCGTTTTGGCGACCGGGGTGTTGTTTACGAAATTGAGAGGACCAATGGCGTCTATATGATCCAGTATCTTGAGGGAATAAATAGTGTACGACCCAATTATTGATCACCGGCTACCATGGGACTGCATCTCTTAACTTTGCTCCATTGACTTATGAATTAGATCTTTAGGTCGAAGACTTGGGTCGTGGCTTCTTAAGAAAACCACCTGCTTCGGTTTGGGCACCTGAGCAGTATTTCAGTCCCACACATCAAATACAGAAGTGTAATGCACATATATTTGGCGCCTCGTTGTACCGATTTCTGTATGTTTAAATAAGTAAACTGCAAATGAGAAGTGTTGATATGAGTTAAATATAGGTATGGGTTAGAATATTTTTCCTCGCTATTCAAATTTTTAATAATTCAAAGTCATGTATATGTGTATAAACATCAGAATTTTGTACAAATAAGAATAATTATTAATCAGGGTTCTTAAACACCAATTAAAAAAATTCACCGAATCAACTCGTATCGTTTCTAGCGCCGTATTTATATATTTTTGGTTGTTTTGTAATGGATTTAAAAATAACATGTTAAAAGTGGATACTAAAGTATTCCCTAGTGTCTATTATAACCATAGATAAACAGTAATTTCCTCAGGCCCGAAATTTCATACAACCGTATTACAGTTACACCTGCTATAAATCCAGTTTTAAAGAAAATAATTTATAAAATTAAACTTAGTTTCCATGTAGGATTTAATATTTGATGTTTTACTCTGTTTTATTGGTAACCACTTATTTTTAAAAGCCTGACAGACTTACAAATTATATCCAGTTTAATGTGTTTGTCTTTCCAAATTTCATCGGTAACATTCGACACTCAACAAAATGTTTATTTTGTGTTACTTTACCCTAAGTTCAAATTTATCTGATTTTAAAGGTGTATATCGGAGATGTGGAAGTCAATTGTGCTTCTGCTGGAGAACATTGTAAGTTAAAACTGAGGAATATTGACGAGGAAGATATCAATCCTGGTTTTTGTTTTTGTTCCCCGAATAATTTCTGCCAGGTAATTATTTCTTACTTAAAATAAATTCTTTTGTTCAGAGCATATAAGACCAATTATCACGATTTATTTATTTATTTGAACACATAAATATTGGTACAAAAGGGCACCAAATATATATGTGCCACACAAAACAATGAGAATTTAAAGAGAAGGAAAGAGAAAAAAACGAAAGGAGGGGAAAAAAAGAACAGTAAGGAAGAGATTAGTGTAAGGTAGTGTAATAATAATAACAATACTAATAATAATAGTAATAATACGGAAAACGGAATGCTACAATCAGAAGAAATCCTTTAGTTAAGGAGGAAACAACCACTTTTTATGAAGAAAGTAAAAGAAGGTTACAGCAAGATCGCCACTGGCTTCTATTCTGAGCCATATCTGATAACGTCTCTAGCCACTGTGTTGCGCCATCTCTCGGACCCCAGCCAGGGAGTCGTGAACGACCAACAGAAGTCAACCCTTTGCAGCTTTCTTTCATGTCACGACACCATGTCATACACTGACCACTCTCCGCTTTCTCTAACCAGTCCTAGTGTCGGCAAATAATGCACGACATGGAATTGTCTGGGACGACATTCGTAGAACATGTACAAGCCACCGAAGTCGGTGTTTCAAGATGGTGACACTGATTGCATCATTGTCTCTGTGCCCGAACACACGATGCCGAACCTCTGCATTACTAACATGGTGTTGCCACTGGATGTCAGAAATCCTTCGGAGACAACGATGATCGAACACGCAGATTCGTCTAACGTCCTCGATTCGAAGAGGCCAGGTTTCACAAACATAGGGCGAAACTGGTCTCACCGACGCGGTGTAGATCCGAACTTTTACAGCCAGACTAACATCACGAAGGGGCCAGAGATGACTCAGATTGGCATAAGCCGCTCTGGTTTTCACTATACATGCAATGATCTCATCACTCACGCCACCACCAGCACTTATGCAGCTACCCAGATACACGAACTTCTCGACTACTTCTATCTGTTCACCATCCAAAGTAAGTGCAGGATTAGAGTATTGCCAATCTTGTAGAAGTACTTTGCACTTCAAAGGTGCAAAGCACATACCATACCTATGGACACTGATTGCCAACCGATTAAGTGCGGATTGCATGGCTTGGGCATTATCGCACAGTAAGACAATATCATCCGCATATTGAAGGTCGAGAAGTCTTTCTCTAAACAACAGATCCACACCGATATTACTTACATCGATCAGAGCTGTTTCCAGAATGTCATCGATGGCAAAGTTGAAGAGGAATGGTGAGATTGGGCAACCCTGTCTAACACCACTGCTCGAATGGAACAATGGAGAGAGGTGGTTGTATGCCCTCACTCTGCCTGAGGTGTTTTTATATAGGGCTTTTAGGATGTTAATAGACTTCTCAGGCACACCCTTCTTCAATAGACAATCCCAGAGAACAGTCTTATTCAACGAATCGAAGGCAGCCCTGATGTCAAGAAACACTACGATTTTTGGCCTTTGATAAGTATGGCGATGTTCTAACATTTGGCGGAAAGTGAAGATATGATCAATACATCCTCGACCAGAACGAAACCCAGCCTTCTCCTCTTGAGTCAATCTTTCTCGGGTTTTGAACAACCTACGAAGTATGACGGAAGCCAATAGTTTGGACGCGATTGGAAGTAGACTTGTCCCTTGATAGTTGTTACAGGAACGACGTGAACCGTTTTTAAAGATTGGGCCAATTGTCGACTCATTCTGGAACATAGCCAATCCTATCAATTGTCCAATCTGCATTAATGTGTGAACGTTTTAGGAGACCTTCCTCTGTCCACTTAATATACTATTTGATGATATAGCCTGAATCACTGTTTCACTTAACACCGGTCTATGTCGTCTAGCTGATTTAAAAACAGGCTTGAAAGACCCTTTCTGAACTGTTCTATTATAGACGCTTTTTCTCCCAAACGGAGCGGTATTTATTGTTCAAAAAACATTACATGGATGTCGGTAATATAATTATAATACGAACCTCCATGGATTTAGATAGGAATACGTATTTAATTGTTCCACTATTTATACTTAAAAGATTTAAAACCCTAGAAAACCAGTATATTTGTTCTTTTGCATATTACAGGTTTCAAATCTATTTGATGCACATCTACTGATTATGCAGTATGACTCTATCATTTCTTCAGGTTTTATGGCTGTGCTTCATATTCACACATGTATGAAAGAAGTATCTATTCGTAAGATCATCTGTCTATTAGACAAAAAGACTAATGAAAAAACGAAAATATATCCCAGGTTTATCAAAGCAGGTGATGCTGCTATTGTACGATTTGAGGTGAGTAATAATACAAATATCTATGAAGATAAAATATTATTTTCATTAATCGTATTCTGTACATTAGATATATGACTCCATCTCATCTTTTAAGTAGAAGTATACGTCATGAAAAATAATATGTGTTCGTTGTCTAATGATTCCTTTCCCCTTGTAACATTCAAAGGTAATCTTTTTTATGATTTTAAGCTATGAAAAACTGTTCGCGATTTACTAGCGTAGTTGGATTCTCGGAACACAAAGTGGACCATGGACTATAAGATATTCACTCTTAATTACCTTATATTGAACAATAGTTTACAAATTGAATGACTATCTTCACCTTCAAATAACTCTTGAATGGTGTAATTTAAAAATTATGCAACAGTTGTCGATAGGCAAAAGTGAAATATGTTTTTCTGCAGATGCACTTCTTTTTCGATGTTTATATGAAACAATATTCGCAGTATTAATGAGCTTTAAATTTAGTCAATGCTATGAATATCATATGCTGTAAGAAAAAGTAAAAATTCCTTTCCAATAACAGTTTTTTTTAAATATTGAATTTATGTATTTGGCATCCAATTAAACCTAGTCTATTTCGTTATCTGACAATACATTATTGCAGGTTTTCATTCGTAGAACATTCGAAATTTATGTATGTCAGTTCATCGCGTATTCATATTGCTTAAAAGATTAGTCTGACACAAAATGAATAACATCTAAGAAGTGACGCATTATGTCTTCTGTATTTTAGCCCCCAAATGCCCTGGTATGGCCGAGAGCGGGGTGGGTTCGCTCTCCCTCTCGAAATACTCTCACACGGCCACGCGTATACAGCCTCTGCCAGGGAAGTCCTACTCACCGCCTTCTCGTGGTGGGGGTGTTGTTTACGAAAATGAGAGGACGGAAAGCGAATGTCCGGCGCTTTAACCGGTTCCCAAACCAATGGTGCATATGGGCTCCAGTATCCTGCGGGAACAAATGGCGTATGAACCAATTCCTTGGTCACCGGCTACCATGGGACTGCATCTCCTCACGATGCTCCACTGCCTTGTGGGTTAGACCTTCAGGTCAAGGGCTCGGGGTGTGGCCTCCTAAGAAAACCACCTGCTTCGGTTTGGGCACCTGGGCAGTATCTCAGCCCGCACACAAAAACATGATAAACCATCTACTTATGAAAAATATTCCTCTCGCTCCAAATAACAATCAAGTGACTCGCATTATTATTATTATTATTATTATTATTATTATTATTATTATTATTATTATTATTTACTACGTTATTATTCGCCCTCTTTTATTCCCACTCTGTTTATACTTATTTTTTCGACTTATACAGCAGCTCGTCTATGGTGGAAATCCGACTCTATCTAAACGTTCTTGAGTCACTGTCCGGCTGAAAATTTTATGTTACCACCGCATATGAGTACTGAAGCAGATTTTCTGAAACCACGTACACCATTCAAACTGGCTGCATTCAACGTTCGCACACTTATACAGGTCGGACAACAGATAGGCCTGGCTGTCTTTGGGAAGTCTTAATATCGACGTTTGTTTTCTATCCGAGACCTGTATTCAAGACTCGAGTGAAGTACTACGAATTCGCTCTCTATCTGTCGCTTCAAAAAGCTTGTTTCATGTGCGCCTATCCGGGGACCCTGTGACATCTTACTCTGGTCTTTCTGGCATTGATGTCGCACTGAGCGCTAGAGCTGAGACAGCACTAATCGATTGGATCCCCATCAAAAGTTAGTTATGTGCTGTTAGATCAGAAAGTTCCATCAAAGTGAAAAGAAATCGACGCGAGAAACGATGTCTTTTCATCATCTCCGCCTATGCTCCGACAGATTGCAGCTCGGATGCAATCAAGGATGAGTTTTACCACCAGTTATCTGTTCTTCTCCAGAAAGTGCGTTCGACAGATATTGTAGCGCAAGCCGCAGACTTGAATGCTCAGGTTGGCCGTCTAGGCACAGAAGAGAGTCGTTTAGGTGGCCGATGGAGACTTGGTCGCAGAACAGGTAACGGGGACCGTCTACTGCAACTGTGCACAGACCACAACCTGTTTCTGGCCAGCACTAACTTTCGGCACAGTCATCGCCGATGTGCCACCTGGCGTCCTCCATTTGCATCTCAAGCCTGGACTCAGATTGATCACATCGCGATCAGCTACCGCTGGCGTGGTTGTGTACAGGACTGCCGCTTCTTTTGGAGTACCTATCTGGACTCTGACCATGCCTTGGTCTGCGCCAATCTTACCTTACTTTTCAGTGACCAACGAAGTGACCGCCACCAACGGATTGATGTTAGCAAGCTGGTTGCAACTTCTGTTGCTAGTAAGTATTGAACTGAGCTAGTTTCTAGGCTAGTTACCATTCCACTGGAAAGTATAGATGAGCATTGGTCGCAATTGCATGACTCCATGAAAATGGCGGGAACAGTCAGTTGTGGGTTTGCGAAACGTCCCGCTTATAAGCACTGGGTTCCTTCCGGTTCCTTACAACTCATTGAAGCCCGTCAGTCTACTCCGGGTGACCGTGAGTTTGACCATAAACGAAGGATGTTACGTAATGAAATTGGGCAAAGCTTGCGTAAGGACCGAGAAGCCTGGTGGTCGAAGCGTGCTAATGAGCTAGAAGCAGCAGCTGCATCTGGTAATTACCGGAAGCTCTTCCAACTCATCCGAGCCACTGGCAGCAAGAAGTCTGGTGTGAGCGAAACAATCTGCGAGGATGACGAGACGACAATCACCAACATCCATCGACGTCTTGGACGATGGGCAGAATTTTTCGAAGGGCAGTTCAACTGGCCTGCTGCTCCGCAACATCAGTCAGACTGTCCTGCCCTCCATGGCCAGTGACGACTGATCCACCAAATGAGGCGAAAGTCCGCAAGGAACTCCAACTCTTGAAGCGTTACAAATCACCTGGCCCAGATGACTTACCTCCGGCTGTTTTAAAGATGGTGGTGACATTCTGACTAAGGAATTGACGATGTTGCTTACAAAGGTTTGGGAGCTAGAGAGTGTGCTAACGTCATGGAATGAGTTGATAGTTGTCCCTATCTTTAAAAACGGTTCACGTCGTTCCTGTAACAACTATCAAGCAACAAGTCTACTTCCAATCGCGTCCAAACTATTGGCTTCCGTCATATTTCGTAGGTTGTTCAAAACCCGAGAAAGATTGACTCAAGAGGAGAAGGCTGGGTTTCGTTCTGGTCGAGGATGTATTGATCATATCTTCACTTTCCGCCAAATGTTAGAACACCGTCATACTTATCAAAGGCCAACAGTCGTAGTATTTGTTGACATCAGGGATGCCTTCGATTCGTTGAATAGGACTGTTCTCTGAGATTGTCTATTGAAGAAATGTGTGTCTGAAAAGTTTATTAACATCTTAGAAGCGTTGTTCAAGTTATTCTAACATTACGATCTTCTGCACTAAAATATGTGTATTTACTTATCACCATATTCGTTCTGAAATATATTATGTTTCACTATCTCTACGAGAACTTCCACAATTCTCATGTTCTTATTATTTATACATCTATGAGTAACCTATTCCAAAACCTGATTTGGGTTATTCGTTTTATGCATTCATCCTTCGCTAATCTGACGTAAATGTGCCTCAATATGTAAAACATTTTGGTTAGGTCCGATTGTATTTAATTGTAATGGGTTTTGTATGTTTCAATCTGTTTATTATTAGCAATTAGTAATTTTTATAAATCCCCAAAACTAACATATCTGTACTTAACTTTTGTAGGTTTTAGGTGGACCAATTTGTCTAGAAACATTTCAAAACTTTCCACCACTAGGACGTTTCACTTTACGTGATAAAGGGGAAACAATTGCCATTGGAAAAGTTGTTAAAATTTTAAACCCTTCTGACCAGTGAAATTATGTATGTTTTGATCCACAAAAAGCATTATTATCCAAATTCGTAAATATGGTATTTATATTTGATCTTTTTCACTCGAATGTGATTTGAAGTTGTCAAGTCTCCACTTGTACTAATTTAAGTATTTTCTGCTCTGGTGTTCGTTTTTTTATCAGTTTATTCAAATCGTATTATTTATGTTATTATTAAAATAGTTTTTTATTAACAAAGGTAAAATCTATAGTTTGGATGAACAAGATAAAGTTTTGTTGGAATAAGCCCCATTGGTGTATTGAATGTTTTCGAATGTGCTGTATGCAAAACGTTTTTCGATTATAAAGTGAAAAATAATCAAATTGTCAAAATATCTTGGAAATTTATTCAGATCGTAGATAGCTAATTATTGCTGTTTTTCTGAAGGATTGGCCAGCTAAATCCATCTTGCCATATTTTAACTTTTAAATCCCAGTTCTGTTACTATTAACTTGCTACGAATAATTGATTTAAATATTTTGAAGTGAAACTGTTAATGAGCTGTCTAACTTTATTGTTGCTAATTATAGAGCTAAAGAGCAATTTCTGTAATTAGTAGGAATGTTTCTTGCTGACCGTTTCGGAAAATCAAATATCAGTAATGAAAGACAAACTTTTCCATATATCTGTCAGTACATGGTTGAAATTAGTTGATTAATAACCAAAAACCCAATTATTATCACTAGGTTTACCCTACTCCAAGTCGTGATGAAATAATTAACCGTGTCACTTAATTGCTCATGATCAATTTTGTACATGGACGTCAGTATGCTACTAAAATACACAATGTCCCCTCAACTTGTTACGATATAAATATTCCCGAATACGTCTATTCAATCTGTGAGGCAATAGAAAAGGACTAGTCACTATTAATTTCACTAAACGGAATCGAATAGCTAAGCACATAAATAATTGCTCATAGCTTTTTGTTGGCCGAAATGTCAGATAAATTTTTTAAGTCCCAATATTACGTTATACTACTGTGTGACATCCTGCTGTGTGGTTTTACCATATTATACGTTATCTCCGGATATATTCAGGATAAATGCTCTAAATCTGAAGAAAATACATCGTTATTTATCTAAAACACCAAATTTAGTACTTATTTTCACTTAGTGAAATGTTGTTAGAGTCAGCAGTATCTATTAAAACCATTTACTCCGTACCCAAAAGTTGACTAGTATTTCTCCAATAAACGAAAATTTGTCTTCCACAACTTACAGCTACAAGTAAGATTATTTAAATCCAAATAAATGAAACTCGTTAATGTGAGGAAAATAATATAACAACTGAGAAAATCTCAATCATACTCGGTTTTGTAAACTGTCTAATATTGCATTCACAGTTTCTTCATCATATTGTTAACAAAATTTAGAAAGCGATGACACTTAATGCTAATAAACACCATTCACTTAACAGATAGACTGAGAAATGTGAATAATCATTCACTCCATCCTATTTATTTTCAAACGACTGAAAGTAATGTGTAAACTTGCATTAATCAGACAGATAGGCGACTAATACACTAAAACACTTTAAAATCAACAACCCAAAAGCGGTTAAAAAGTAAAAAGACGATAAATCAGAAGCGCTTTTTCTATCTCAAATCTGAATGAATGTATGAGTAAATTCAGTACGTGTATAGTATTAAATAACCAGTAAAATTATGTCGCTAAAAATCAATAGTAACGTATTTTGAACAAATGACAGATGAAAACTAATGATACGGATGTGTATAACTACAATAATAACAGTTAGATGAGGTTACAATAATATCGACTTCGACCATCCGTAAAACGTTCCCTTATTAAGATAAAATTATTCGACTCATTAATACCCGGGTTGGCCTAGATCGACCTGAAATCAAACTTATCTTTCTTCTCGATTTATTGATCTTCAAGGCAGTAAGGTCTTCTCAGTCGATGTCTCTAATTTTTGTTGATCGAGAACAGGATACTTACTTTCTGCCTGGTTCAGGTTGAACATGTCAAGTAATAGATCAAGCAGTATATGTTCTTAATTGGCATGTGACTTCCCCGTACCTGATTTTGATCCATCTATCAGCCCACTCTGTCTAGTGCTGTTCGCTGCCCGTGCATTGTATCTCCCTATTTGGAAATGCCTTGAAGTATGCTTTAACACTACGTCAGATTCTTCTATAAAAATGATGTAATTAAGTATAGTATTCTCCTCCTATTAATGCTCTCCTTGGTATTTTGGAGACGTTTCCGCTAGGTGTCATCCGATGTACGAACAGAAACTGACAGACTGTCTCCACCGATGTTTATTGTCCTTCTGATTTTATCAATGTGCGATTGCAAGTATGGGCAAACTAGGGTTTGATTCCTGGTGCAGTTTCATGATTTTCTTAAGTGTGTACTATCTACCAAGTGTCGTTTATCATTTCCATCGTTCTGTCACAGTAAGTTGTTGTTAATAATGTCTGACCAACGGATTCGGAGTATCTTGCCTAGACAATTGTTTATAAGTACGTGTACTTCCTCGGTGGCCGTTGTGGTAGTCATGCAATTCCAGCACCGTACAAAGAACTCTCTTGAAGTTGGTATTAAAATTCCTGACGTTTTATCCTTCAATTTTAGAAATGTAGCCTACGGTTTGCTAATCTATATCTCTACATCTGAATCAGAACCTTCATTTTTAAGCGGATACATAAAATCTTCCAGAGCTTCATCACTAAATGTGATTTGATTGCTTTCTATGGTGTTGTATTTCAGGATCATGCATTTTCCCGCGTGCATGTGTAGACCTACTGCTACAGAGGTTGTTGTGTTTAGAGTAGGTGGGCTAGGTCTTTTCAAAACAAACGATATAAACTCTGTAAATAAAGACTCATGTTTCGGGTAAATTTTAAAGGTTTTTGGCGAAGTCCATTTTCACTAGGTAAGGCTGCTAACCTCTATGCCCAACCCTCCTTTATTTGTAATTCAGACTGGTAATATCCCTAAAAGGACTCGAGACAAGCTCATCGTGGTTATTTAACCACTAATAACCGTAGCAGCTTCCTGATGTGTTGATGAAGGTGAAGTAGCCAACGTTTGCCGATATCAGTAAACTTTTTAGTTTAAAGGCTGCAGTATTACAGATCCAAACTGAATTTTGAAGATAGCCGTCAACTTGAGGCGCTTATATACCAAATTAGTTGTGACATCTATTAGATAACTGTCTTCATTTATAGATAGGGGATAAAAGAAATGGAATAACATTTCTATTGAGTTTTATACCAATATGAGAAAGCAATAAGACCGATGTGTAGAATTTTTTTTAATGCTGATTTCGGTCACAGCCCAATGTCGTACGTTTCATCTATACACTTTATTCGCATAGTTTTGCTTACTTATAAGTAGTTCGGCTAGATTGGTTGCAAAACCATCCAATCTGTAATTTCTAAAACTCCACAAAACCCATTCTGATAATAATCAACCGCTCACTAGTGACTGACTTCAGGAAAAACTCTTGAAGTTCTAGTGAGAAGCCGTTACCAGTGGAGTTCAACCGGGTCTGTTGTGAGATAACAACTCACTGAAGAGAATGGTGTACGGTGGCGCAACTTCGTGGATTGGTTGAAGTTAGACATCAACACCGTTGGATGCTGGCTCAGTGGTCTAGTGCTCGCGCACAGAGCCAGTAGGTCCTGGGTTCCAGCCCCTCGTGGTGCGGGATCGTGAATGCACACTGCTGAGGAGTCCCATACTAGGACGAAACGGCCGTCCAGTGCTTCCAGGTTTTCAATGGTGGTCTAGCTTCAACTGACTCATGATTTTAATCTGTGAAATTTCCATCCAATACAGTTGAAACATCTATTTTTGGTATGTTGTCCAAATCTCTTAGTGTGTATTGACCCTCTGAAGCTTAATTATGCACAGCGATAAGAAACATTGATAACGTTCTTGATTTCAGACGATGATAGTATTGCGTGAGTGACATCAGACTGATGTATAATCTTTATGGCGTCAATTTCTCCAATCCTACACTTTTCATGAATGGCCACAAACTAGTCACCACGTGTGGAGAAGTTCGAACACTTCACTACTACCTGAAATTTGTGCTGACGATGTCGTTTAGAAGAACGATGAAAACTCCACGACTAAGCCATCCAGCTCAGAGAACAAAAACTTCATCAAAATCATCCACCTGAGCTACAAATCTCCGCCATCTCATAGTCATCATCAGTTCACCATCTTTTGTTCTTTGTCAAAATATTTAATTAGGGATTATACTCGAATAACCTTGTAGGGATGTTCTTACTTTTGTTGTGCTTATTACCAAACTACCTTTTAAGGCTTTTCACATTTTTCTCTGAATGTCGTCCAAGGCAAACTACTATCAAAATTTTTCTCGATTACTGCTTATCTGGTGGAACAAATTGTACAATAAATATTACAAGTGTAAGAAAGAATTACGTTCATTGATGCTGGTTAATATTTGCGACTCGTGATTCACATAGAACTATGACTCAGTAAAAGATATGTCTTTTCTGACTTTTACATTTACTGTTGAGAGTTTCTCTTTACCGACAAACAATACTTTCGACCATACGATGTAGAATCTATGTAAATACACTAGACATTGAAGATGAGTAGATCTTTCCCGATTATTATTTAATTAATATTACTCAGAAACATTTAAACACACCACCACCGATTGCTTTTAATCATAACGTTAATAATTAAACCAAAAATATGTGCAAAGAACCTAGCACAGACAGCGCTTGGACTCAAAGACTACTTACACAATCAGTAATTATGACTCACAAATAAAAGTATGACTACGAACTAACTACATAAGAAGTAATCTTATCGTACTAGAAACCACAAAAACGGAACATTGTATATAGCATAATTATAGTAATAATTTTCGTATTGATTATTTTAATAACAAGTATATCAAAAGGGTTTCGAATCTAAATTGTAAATGTTTTGTATATATTGAGAGAAGTGAATAATATAGAAATATTTTCCGACAAAAAGTCAGTGAACAAGATCATGAAGCGAATATCGGCTGAGTTTGAAACATACAGACAGAAAAAAAAACAAAATTGAATCAGTATCTCACTGTCAACTTATTAAATTGAAAGTAACCTCAAATTAGATCAACTCCTGTTAGTATTATTATAGCTTCAAGTGTACGAAAAGACATGACTACGCTTTCGTAAAAGTTCTTCAAGGTTATCAAACATTTAACAGTAAAAAACATACAGTAACTAAAATGAAAGAAAGTGTATGACATCCATTTACCTTACATTTTTTAATATTTTATACAAAATGAACACTTAATTCCTTCTGTAACCGAATAATTGATTAAAGTAAAAGAAAAGATCAAAATAGTGAATAAATTTTGGAACGAGACAAATCAAAAGAAAATAACGTTGAGAAAAAACATGATTGACGGCAAACAAGCCAGTTCAGTTTTGGTTCTTATAAATCCTAGAGGAAGACATTCGATTATTGAATAAACATCAGTACAAACATTGGTCAAAACAAAAATAAGAAAGATAAATTCAAAAGATGAAATTAGTAGAAGATATCTATTTTTCAGGCAAAGTAGAAATCAAAATTCATGTGATGGACAGTTTTATCTAAATATATCTAT